ATATATATATATACTTCGATAACGTATGGGCATGGAGCGAGTATGTGGATCTGGTGCGTACTAAGGTAGATGAAGGCCAGGCGACGAAGAAAGTTTTGAATCCTGAAACAGATAACTAGTCAGGATATCTTTATGACGCTCCAGTCTGGGATGGTGCTAGCAACGTGAGCAGACCCTGACTGGTTGGTGGCGTACACCAGACTGTATGCTGGTGTATGTCCTAAATTTAGCAAGGGTGAGAAGGCTACGGCGACGGCGGCGTTTGCGAAGTAGTTGCGCCTGGACATGAAGCGAATGTATGAAGTGCTGCAGGAGTTGATAGTTTTTATGTCTGGGAGGTCCACGCTTAAAGTGTTAGTTGATGAAGTGGAGGACCAAGGTAAAAATCCCACTGAGCCAGTTGCATCGGCGGTCGATTACATGTCTACCATGCAAAAGCGGTTGGCGGCGTATCAGGCGGACGCGCCAGATATTGATATTGACGCCCCAGGGCCACCCCGTCTATCAGGGGTGCCAACTGGGGCGATGGCGCTTGTAGTTAGCGAAACGATGGATGAGGCAGTAGACACCAATGCACACAAGAATTGTGGGCCAAAGACTGCTGCTGAGAAGCGTAAAGAGGCTCGGCGAGCTGCCAGGGCAGCTAAGAAGTTAGATGTGTCGAGACAGGGGGAGTAGCGTGAGACGGGACTGCAATCGCAGCACCAGTCAGGTCTGGGGAGAACCCAGGGTGTTGTCAGCGGTTACAGTCGCACAGCCTAAGGCGGTGTGCCAGCGAGCCAGCGAGGTGCGGAGATAGTGTAAGATTCGGTCTATCAAGGCGATATTAATGCCTTAGAGTAATTAAACACTTAGGTTAAGTCTAAGTATAATTAAATTCGAAGTAAATAAACGAAATGAGTCTTTTAGTAAAGTCAGGTATGCCTCGTAAAAACAGCAATACTCTGAGACATATTAGATGAAGGGAGACGTATTATTTTAACTTCCATGACCCCCTGGGGCAGGTACAGGTATCCCTCCCTGCCCTTTGGTTTGACTGAGGCCTCCTGGCGTTTTCAGGAGGACCTGATTCGCATCTTTGACGCGTTGGAGGGAGTAATATGGTACATCGACGACACAGCAGAGCAGCACTGGCAGCTGATAGAGAAGGTCCGTCAGCGCTGTGAGAAGTGTAATGTGCAGTTTGGGCTGTGCAAGGCCAGTGTAGCAATAACAAGCGCCCGGTCAAGCTTCTTGGCCGATTGAGCTGGTTTTGTAATAAGCCGGGCCTCCACATTAGACTCTATGTTATAAACGTACTCTTAAGCAGTACGCAAATTATAAACGTACTCTTAATAGTACGAGGAACTTAAGTTTCCTAAATGTACTCTTAATAGCACGAGGAACTTACGTTTCCTAAAATGGGGTTTAATGGTTTTATTAATTAATGCCTTTTCCACTTTACATATCAGATATTTGGACAAGGCCATTAAAAGGCCTCAGTAAAATACCAAACATAAAGAGTTGGTTTAGTTCTATTAATAGAACTCTATTTACTTTCCAACTTTATTTGTATCTGAATACTTCGGTAGCGAGATGGCTCAACCAAATATAGGTTTCTAGGGAGTATTAACGTTACTTAGTTGATCCTCCGATCAGCCAACCAGATGTGCCAGTCTGATGAAGGCTAAGTCGGTAATTCTTGATAAGTGGCATGTTATTGGTTAAGATAATAACTATGGACATCAAGAGTATTTATATTTTTTATTCTTATTTTTCTAAAGATAGGATTTTATGAGTCTTTCGGATTTGCCTCAATGAAACAAACCATAGTTTCTAATAGAGTGACAACGGAATACTAAATAATTACCCTCCGGCGGAAACAGTTCAGAGAGGATTATATATAGGCAATGTCTCAGCCTCACAATGTCTCAGAGTATTGCTGTTTTCACGAGGCATACCTAACTTTACTAAATGTCTTATTTCGTTTATTTACTTTAATATTTTCACGATACTTAAAATTTACCTACGCGTTTATTTATTCTAAGGCGTTAATATCGCCTTGAGAGACCGAATCTTACACATTTTAAAGTTAGCAAAAGTATTAATTACTTAGACTACTTGAGCGTAAAGGTAGTTTAACTACCACAAATAATTTTTCTTGTCCAAGCTAGTCCTTAAAGACAAGCTAGCAGTCATAAGTTAAGATTATGACCATAAAAGACAGTACTCCGAAGAAGCGTAGAGCTGAAAAGAAGAGGATGGAGAGAGACGCCGCTACTGTAGCCGCATTTAACGCGCCCGCAGAAGAGGACAATCAATCCGTAACCGAAATCATTGCTACTGGTATTAATAACCAGAACAATACAACAGAGAAGGGTGAAGACGCTCCATTAAGAGAGAAGTCCCCTGAAGTAAAAGCCCGCGGGCCAACTATTGCGTCTGCTTCAAAGCTTACGTTTACGAAGCCAAGAAGCCACGCAAAAGGATCGGTTAAGACGATCCCTACTAAACCTGATGAGAACACTCAGAAGGATCTAACTCCAATTACGGAGAAAGGAGACAACCCGCTTAAGGGAGAGGATGAGAAGGAAAGCTCAAAGAACCGACCCGAATCAGAATCAAACCAGCCATCGCACATAAGTAAGTTGATCGATGAGAACACTGAACTCAAGAATGAGTTAGCCGCTCTTAAGAAACGAATGATCTCACAGGAGAAGGTGGTTGTTAAGAAATCGCGGGAGCAGACCGATCAAGGGTACGTATCCAGACACACCTCAAACGAGAGACCCCAACATACACGTCCACTTGAATCTACTCAATCTACAAGCCCTGTTAAGAAGGTACGTGCGGAGCACAAGGAACCTGCATACAAGCAAGTTAAGAAATGTGCTGATGAGAAATGTGGTTATGACATGTACTAGTTAACCCCTAACGGTTACTGGAACGGAAAGCATGCCCAATCTTGTAAACACTATCTTACAAAATGCGATAAATGTGAGAAGTCCAATGGCTATCACACTAAATCGTGTAACGTCAGACCCGACATTAAGTTGGACTGACGATACTACCGGGTACAATCGTTACACAGACAATACAACGACTCCTTAGATGAGCGTGTAATAATCCCTATTAACTGCGATGGAAATAAAATCTTTGCGTTGATTGATCTTGGTTCAGAAATTTTATGTATATTCGATCGCTTTGCATTAATGAAAGATATCGAAAGGAGAACACAAACAACTCACCTCATTTTAGCTGATGATAAAACTGCTAAGTGTAGAACCATGGCCACAGATATTAAAATCTCCCTGGCCGATGATAGGAATATCACTACCCAAGCTGTGATAGTTAAGATGTCACAGAAGTACGATATTCTAGTCGGAATGAGCGATTTACTCACTCTAGGTATAACCGTAACGGATATACCAAAAAACATAGATCCATTAAAGGATCAATCAGACGATAACTGTCTTAATCCATATAAGCCCCCGTCAGACACAGTCAAGGCATTAATACCTGACTTTGAGAACAAAATCATGGATCTGATTCTAGTTAATAAGAAGATAAAGATCACAGATTGGCAAAATTCCACTTTAACGACGGATATGTCAGCCTTGACTTAACCAAAGTAGACTTTACACAGTCAAAGTGTCCCTCAAGGAACTATGTATCCTGGAGAGCACCTTTCGGGTTACACTCTTTACCAGCATTCTTCCAACAAGTAATGGAAGAAATGTTTACAGACATGCCTAACGTGCAAGTCTATATAGATGACATAGTCATCTTTTCTAAGACTAAGGGCGAACATGCCGCATTAGTCAGACGAGTCTTTAAGAGACTCAACGAGCAAGACTTCAAGATTAACGAGAAGAAATGCCACTTCGCAATGAGCGAAATACAGCTCTTAGGCTACCATATATCTGGGGAAGGTATTAAAATCGACCCCGTAAGGTAGCACACCTGGTAGATTGGCGAACACCAACTACAAGAAGAGATGTTAATAGCATGTGTGGGATTGTAAACTTCTTTTCAGATGGAGTACCACACTTAGCTGATTACCTTAAACCTTTTGGACACTCATAAAGGCAAACTAGGAGCTTAGTGGACTAAAGAGTGTGATGACGCATTTGAAGCGCTCAAACACGCAGTACAGCAAGCCTCTGTTGTACAAGGACCAGTCGATGGCGTGCCGTTTGAAATAGCAACGGACGCCTCCGACTTAGCCTTAGGAGGAGTATTATATCAGGTTATAGATAACAATCCTAGATATATACAATTCTTTAGTCGGGCAATGAATGCTTCACAGTTGAATTATCCAACTGCTAAACAAGAGCTATTAGCCATAGTGGCACCTCTAACACACTTCCGAGATTACATATACGGAACAGCATTTACGCTGATGTAAGATTCGGTCTAATAAAGGCGATACTAATGCCTTAGAATAAATAAACGCGTAGGTAAATTCTATATATCGTGTGAATATCGATATAA